ATATCTCGGTAATCAGAAGGTATTAACCCAAACCCAATATAGATTTAGATGCGTCGCGACAAGCTCTACAAAACCTGATATATAGCTTTCTGCTTCGACATACTTTCGAAAACCGGCAGGGTCCTTTGGTTCTAGTTGTTACAAAAAAAATTGTAGCTCACTCGGTCGAAGCGGCTGGAAGAAAAAGGGGGAAAATCTTTTCTTTCATCTAATGTATTTTCCTGATGGTAGAACATATTCCGTTATTCCCAAACATAAAGTAAAATTTGACGAAAAACATGCGGGATTAGATTACGTGAATTTCGATAAACAAATGTGTATTGGAACAATAATGCAAGAACGTAGTAATAGAAACTTAATCGAATCAGAGAAGACAGCTTCGATAAGCATAAATTGTTTAGGTCCTCATGATAAAACGGAACAGAAAGCTGCATATCTGGAGAGAATTGATCACTCGAGAACAGCAGAAGATTCGGATGTCGAAGATGAACATTCACAACTTCGTACACGTTCTGATCAAACAAAACATGCATCGCAAAACAAAAGAAGAAACGGTAAAAGTATTATGGATAAAAATAAGCCTTTATGCTATAAAGTTATTTGTGTCTTATAGAGAATTAGCATTTAAAGAACTCCACGGTATAACTCTACTCTGACGGTTATGATGATCCAGAGTGTTTTGGATGTCTCATAGTAAATAACAAGTTTATTGTTTGATGCAATTCTCTGTGAGAACACCTAAACTAAGAAAGAACAAACATTATCAAGTTCAACAAAATGGGACAAGCCTTTAGCATTTTAGTAATCTTTATCAAATTTTTGTCTTCTTTTCAAGGTCTTTCTGCCTCCAAACAACATAAAAGTCTTGAAGAATGACAGTTAGTTTGCTTTTATTTGTCAGAAGTTGTAAATTAAACTGTGCACCGTACGCTTAAGATCAAAAAGCGTACAACTTACAGTATTATCCTCTGTTTCTTCTTGTAGAACTTAACAACGATGATGATTCAAACAACAGATCAAGTTCAGGTCCAGCAGCAAATATACTTAAAAAATATTACAAATTTAACTGAAAATGATTCTGCTGAATTACAAGACAATATAACAGACAGTGTTTCAACAGAAAATCATGCAATAGTTGGGTTACCATCTGAATTTAGTTCATAACAACAGTGAACAACTCGTTTAAAAGCAGACTACAGAATAGAACAGGCGAAAAGAAGAAACAGGTCAAAACGTCACAAGTCCACTTTCTTTTGCACCTTATTTATGGATTCTTGTTCTCTTGATAGTCTTAAAAGTACTTTTATCTAGAATCAGTAACAAGATCTTTTTTTCTTCAAAATCAGCGTCATTCTTTTTCAAAGGAGTAAAAGAGCGATGGCTGTAAGAGGTCTTCTAATGTCAGTTTTATTATTTTTCATTTAAAACACATCCAAAGTGTAAATCATAATTCGGCGCTGCATAAGCAAAAGAATCTGATTTTTGCTGCGAAGGGCGGGAGACGGATAAGCTGATTTTTCCATTACACAATAGTTTCGAAGAACAATTGCATAGTCGAAATCGCCGTTCAATTCTGTATCGAATGACAGATAATATTTTCAAAATCGACTTTTTATTTTTGGAAAATTTATAGCCCCTACATCTCCTCACTTGGATCGTCGAAAAAAATTTTTTCTTGAATTTCGACAAAAAAAAAACATCATTCGACCCAATATCACTAATATTAGGTCAAAAATTCAAAAAGTCAGTGCTTTACTGGGAAAATAGATTTTACTAACAGATATTATCAAAAACTTCTGTCATCAATAACTCATTTTCGCTCTCAAAAGTCATACCTTAGACTTCAAAACGAATCCGTACTATTCAAAAATGTCTGAATTCTGAATCAGAGACAAAAAACGGTTCTAACCAAGGTTCTGAGGTCGAAAAATCATTTTGATCTTGAAAAATGATGAAAATAGCTGTTTTCGGCTAAGGGAAGCCGTCAAAAATTCGCATCGGTGAATTTATTCACCGCTAACTGGATTGGAAAGAAAATTGAGAACAATATTGTTCAATCGCCTAAGAAAAAGAATATGGGGCTATCGTGTATGTATATATTCTTTTCTGTACTATACTTGACTGAATTGACTTTTAAATTTAACCGATACTATTTGATGTTACGAAATTGTCATCTGTTGTTAAACGAAGAATATGGAAAAAAAATACCATTAAATATAAATATTTTATATATGACAAAAGAAACTTAACCACTTAACCTGTGTTTTTCTGATACAAAAATAGTTAGACATTTTCTAGAGACATCCGAAATTCGTTAGCATCACAAGTTATACTCTAGGTCTAGTCTTCTTTTAGGAAAAGTACCGTTCAGTTTTTAAGTTATACGACCGCCAATATGGGTGCTCAGCATACGAAAACGTTAGTTTCGACGAAAAGTTCAGATGGACTTTCAGAGAACTTTCTGAACTACCATGACTTTCTGGTTTTCTCTTTGGCTCATGATATTTATCCAGGATATTATGGAGTTTATCTACGCAATAACAGAAATATTCTATTTGCTGTAGTTCTGGTGATACTACATCTTCTCTAAAATTGTTTTTTTCCATATAGAATGACGAAGAATTATAGCATATTTTGTTGTATTATAGAAACAATGGAAAAAAAACATTTATGGATTTTTTCTTCCATATCATTTTTGAAGAACAACATTATGTATATATATCATACATTCTGATAATTTTTCTCAGTGTACTCGTCCGTTATTTATCTTGTATAGGACCTAAAAGTGAGTAATCAGAACCTCATTATTTTTAATCTGTTTTTTTTGCATCGATCATCCAGAGGGTTGTTCAGAAGATTGATATAATCAGGCAATCATATGTGTAGTAGGTAATTTAGCGACAGAGCGAATAATGTATATGTGGTAGTAAAACCTAAAAAAATTTAAATTTCCCTACCTTTCAGCTTGTACTTCCACATGCATATGAAATTGAACATTCGCATACGAATATATGTTTTTCAGCGCTAAACCAATACACCGTATTCAAAAATGATTTCTAGTTCGATATCGTTTCGACCAAAGCGCCCTAATAAATACTTTCTCGCGGAAGAACATCGCTTATATTTCTGTTATTCTAGCACACGATGATCACAAAAATTAGCTTAATCATACCGATATTAATAGGTCTTATCTTTCCCTCTGCGAGTAATCCAGTGGATAGTGAAGATGATGCGTTGGCTTATCTGACGCGATTCGGTTACAGTTCGTGTAATGCTTCATCGCCTGTTCGGTGTAGTGAAAATTTTTCTTCGATGCTCATAGAATTTCAACGTTATTTTGGATTGAATATGACCGGTGTTGCTGACAAGGAAACACAGGCCATTATGAATCTACCGCGATGTTCAATGGTGGATAAACCAAATGTAAACATATTGCAGGGATTAAGCAATAAAACATGGTCTCATCTCTCTCTAACCTATCGTCTTGCATCGCACGCCCATTTCCAGCAAATAAGTTATGCGAATCAGATTAGCATCGTGCAGGATGCATTTAACGAATGGTCAAAACACACGCCTTTAACATTTGAAATGGTCTGTAACACATGTTTATCAGATATTGTACTGCAATTTATGGAAGGCGATCATGGCGATAGTTTACCATTTGATGAAAAAACATTAGCGCACGCGTTTTTGCCAACTGATGGTAGAATCCACTTCGATTCGCAAGATACATGGACAGAATTGTACATTGAGTTAACACGTTATATGATCGTTTTTTTGCTATTTCTTCCTTTCTGCTTAGGTATAATTCGACGTCAAAAACGGTGATCAATCTGTTTCTAATCACTATGCATGAAATTGGCCACGCGTTAGGTCTTGAACATGTAAAAGATAGACAGTCGATCATGTTCCCGACTTATCAGCTAAAACAACGATCTGACGTACTAACATTCGTTGATCAACAGTCGATACAAGCTCTTTATGGAAAAAAAACTGAACCAGACTGTACGTTTTTGTAGTCCTATCTGAATAGTTAAAGAAAAAACCGTTTTTTGTAGTTAGGAGTGATATCCGACACGGACAAGTGTTTGGAAATCCACTTGGAGGTGTACAATTTAATGCAGTCGCTGAATCTGTCGCTTTGATTAACAGTCATCGGTTATACGAAATTAACGTACAATGTCAGGAAGGTTTACTAAGATCGATCCGGATGTACTACTCGGATCCACCAACTTTGACATCGACACATCGCGGTACATTCATTTCACTGTGTGATACGGACACTTTTACACTGAACAAAAACGAAGAGATTTCTATCGTTCACGTGAAAACTGGTACATATTATGGAATGAAACTTATTCTTGGCATTCAGTTTATTACGAACAGTGGAAGGATGAGTCAGCAGATGTGTGGAACGAACATTACGGGAACTAACTCGGCTGAGAAATTTGACGGCTACGTATTAAAATACATTAGTGGGCGATCGGGTGATCTCATTGATTCACTTCAGTTTCATTGGCGGCAAGAAAACTCTAACATTGGTAAGGAAACTAGAGTTGGAGAATCTGTATTGGTGCTAATTTGGCACGTAACCTTTTAGCTCCAACAGCGACAACAACGAGTAAAACAACTAGTAAGTTACCTCTTCTTAAAACAAGCGAAAATAGAGAGGGGTTAGCACAGTGAAAAATCCTACGAGGTGTAATGAAAAACCTCCTTTATGATGTATGTGAATAAAAATCTTGCAGGACCTTACAGAAAAAAATCTTGAAAAATAGATGTGGCAAAAAACCTGTTGGACATAGCCAACAATCTAAGGAATTTTGTAAAATCCTGTGTGCCAGTGCAGGATTCTGAAAGTTTTTCTAGCGGATTGTAAGAGAGGGTGTTATCTGACATTATTCTTCCTATTATTCGGATGATATTTAATCAGCATTAAAATTGTTCAGACATCACTTCAATTTTATCTTATTGATCCCCGTAGTAGAGGTATGCACGGGTACCAATTCCCTACCCGTACCGACCCGAAAATTTTTCTCCTTTTCATTTTTCAACTGAAAACGTTTTGTTTTTCGGCTGGAGATGTCAAGTTATCATAACTTTTTCAAAAGACATCCATCACCATTCTTTTTTAGTTAGTTCACTCCCAAAGAAATGTTCGTTCGTTAATCCATTTTTTACTTTATAGTTGGAAAACAAAGTTTTGATGCAAAGTCGTACTATCGCTTAACAACAGAATGGCACGGTGATGATAAATCTCTCGACATTGTTCATGATGGTAAAAACAACAATCAACTTATACTCGCTAAAACTGACAATTCTAGTACTCAATATTGGAGGATTACTTTATTGGAAAATAACGATTATCGTTTAACTTCAAAACGACATGGTTATAATAAATCTATTGATATTGTTAATGATGGTGCGAACAATAAACTTACACTTGCTGATACCGACAATTCTAGTGGTCAATATTGGAGGATTACTTTAGTGTCAGGTAACTATTATCGTTTAACTTCAAAACGACATGGTTATAATAAATCTATTGATATTATTAATGATGGTGCGAACAATAAGCTTACACTTGCTGATACTGGCAATTGGAGTGGTCAGCATTGGAAAATAATAAAAATATAAAAACATGATTATGAAGACCATCCCATCTATAAGAGATTCAGAAACATCCGACCAACAATATCTGCAGTTCTAGTCAACCCCATCTTTTTCCCTGAAGGACCTGGTGTATTTTCGCCAGAAGATCATCTGTTTTCCTCAAAGACTTAGTATATTTTCATCAGAACTTCGTGTCTTTTCCACGAAGACCTGGTGTATTTTTACGAAAAATTTATTTTTTATCCTCAAAGATCTCGTGTGTTTTCAACAGAACCTCATCTTTTTTTCTGGAAGACTTCGTGTATTGTGATCAGAATCTCATCATCTTTTTTCCTGGGAAACTCGAGGTTTCTTGCATAAGAACTTCATCTTTTTTGTATGATCCATGTTAAATAGGGCTTTGACTTCGACCTCGATCAAGCATCATTCTCGTACTCTGTTTTTAATCCTGAATCTGAAAAATAGACTTTTGAAAAGTTAGAATAATAAAAAGAAAAAACTTGGATTTTTTGAAACTGAAGGGGTTTTTGACATCTTAGACCCTTCGAATTTTTTCAATTTTTCTTCCTTATAAAATGAAGAACCACTGTTTCTTACTCACCTCGATGCGCTCTATCCAACCATGTATAAATAAATAAGAAAAAAATTTTATTCGAATTTTAAATTTCTGGCATCTTATAAGACCATCTCTTTTTTTTAGTGATATAGCTCTATTTAGAAGTAGTTTTTCGGAAAGGGAATGATGAACAAGAAGACCCTTGGTTTGTTGAATATACTCAGATTCCTCTGATACATAGAAAAGAAGTGCCTTCTAAATGGTGAGTATTACTCTGTTCCTCTTCTACAAAACTATGGTGGTTAGCTACCAGTTTTGATTTTTGCTTACTTAAAAAAATTAAACCTTAATTACGTCAAACAACGCAAAATCTGAGTAATCAACGCCAACGATTTGTATCATACTGTGTAATGGGGATAAAGTTTGTTTGAGAGGTTCCTAGTTAGGTTTCGTTTTCATCGATTTAATCGTATTACTGTGGCCTTTTTATTAGCCCTGCTGATTTAAGATAATAATTTAAAACAAAGAAAAGCATTATTTATAAACAAAAAACGTGTTAAACATTGAACAATGGAAAACATTTGTTACGAAGTTCGTTAGATAAACAGTATATAGAATTATTTATAGTAGAATAGAAAACAAAAAAAAATAGCGCCGAAAAAGAATGATAGTAAATCATTTTGCTTTTTGCCCCATTCCTGTGGCAAATAACAGTTGTTTGGTCTTCTTCTTCTTTTTTCCAACACCAACAGTTTGCACAGTCAAATTCGACTGTTGGTCTTCTGTGTCATTGTCACCGTTTGTTGCTAAAACATAAGCAAAGAAAATAAGTTTGAAAACGATATCACCGTTCACCTTTCAAAATCACATCTTTCTTTGAAAAAGCTGTACTTACCGTTATTAACATTTAGCTTATTAAAAACCGTTTCTAAATCTTGACTAAAACTTGTATGAAAATTTGGCACTTGAAAATGCTCATCATCTTCTCCATCGTTATAATCGTCATCACTATTGTTTTTACATTTAATATTTTTCTTTTTTCTAAGATCTTCTTTTGGCATTGTGGATGTAGATTGGGGTGCTGCACCCACTACTTTTTTGATTGACATTTGTAACAGTGCAGGTGGCGCTTGTTGTTTCAACATCTGAGCAAACGATGGACCATTTTCTTCGTTTGGCATAATTGCTGAAGCTGAAGGGGGGGAAGAACTACTTCCTGTTGGAATCATAGCTGGAAACTCTTCCATTGATTGTGTTCCATTAACAGGAAAATGTTCACTTGGGAGATACATTAATTCTTTTGGATCTAGAAGGGAGAGTAAAAAGAAAAAAATTGTGCGTGCTGTGGGACTGAATGATTCGTACATTGTGTTAATTTTCTTGTTTCAGCTATTTCAGCTTGCTGTTTACGACGTTTTTCTGTACGTTCTTTACGATAACGAAATTGACGACGCCGATATAATTCATCTAAATGAAAAACCGGATAAAAAAAGTCGTTTAGAGAATCGAACATAAAGCGATAAAAAGCAGTGCAGTGATGGAATAGCATCGAGAAAAAGAAAATATCACATTATTTCTTCATACTTTGACTTAACAAAATCTAACCTGCAAACATGTTCATTGTTTGTACGGATATAACTGGCGGTCTTAATCGTATTTCGATCACTTGAAATTCACATGTTAATGGTAAATGTCCCAAAAATCGAAAATGAGAACGCAATTCCTTTGAATTAAAAATACTTCAATAATTAAAATACAAAACGTCGTGGAAGTGAGATAAATGACAAACCTCGGTCATAAAAAAACTTTCTATATGTTCAACCCTTGCATGGATAACCTCTGGACAGTTCAAATACGAACCATAATCATTAAGTAAAATTCGAGCATTTATACTATTCAGGTAGGCATGTGGAACGTTATCAGCTGAAACAAAGAAAGATACATTTATTCGCGTAAGTCAAAGTTGACGTTCTTAATGAAGAACAAAAGACTGGATAAAAAAACATAATTTTAACACTGCACTAACCAATGTTGACTCATTTGGATTCATTCAATATACCTCACTGCCAGAAACACATCTCGAAACATAGTCAACGATCTCAGAACGCTGTTGGATAGTATATATCATCAGTTGCATCAGAAGCAGAACTGGTTAAATAATTTCATCATTATTCGTTGACTCATGTGAAAAGTGGTGAGATACAGTAATTACGCTTTGATTCACTTATTCAAGTTTAAAGCAGTTTTTTTAGCGATTAAAACTTTGATAAATAAACAATTCCTAAACTGGGATTCGAACACAGGACACTAGTTAACCACACCAACGCTCTAATCACTGGACCACATAGGCACAGCTATTGACATCATTTTTCCGAGTAAGTGATCTTAATTATCGAAATATATCTTATCAATCGAAGTCGATTCCACTATATATCACCAACAAGGAGAGATATGTTTTTCTATTTGCTTCGTTAGCGGAGTCTAGCCGCTAAATTGTTCTTAACTTTTCATAGTCACAGTTTCCTACAAAAAAGATACTTTATCGGCACTGATTGTGCACGGATGCGCATCGATGCCAGAGAGAATGTAAAATTCTCGCACCGGTGCTGAAGTTTTGTTTTCAGCCACTAATTTGTTTTTTGTCAGTTCCTGTCTATATTAACACCAGTCTACTTCTAATATTTCGAATGTCTTTTTGACTTCATCTTTTCCTTTTCATAAGAGAAATGCCGAGGCAATGCCACATGGTTTTGGTATGTCAATGTGGTACTAATCAGTATCGCACTCTAATACAAAATTCAGTATAAACAACCATAATAAAAAAACTAAACTGATTAAATAAATTTCAGTGCGACACTGATTTTTACCAGTGCGGCACTTTTTTAACAGAAATATATCAGTAAATTGAAGGGTGAACTTCCCTTTTTTGAAAAAAGAATTTGGAAGATCCTGTCTTAGTAAGTGATGTGCACTAAACTCTCACAGGAAATCACTGACTCCAGTATTAGTGACGGAAGCAAAGACAAAGTTGATCAAAATTCATGAAAATTCTAAAAATGCCGAATGACATGAAGCATTCTCGCGTATTTCCTCTGAAAACTCTGCGGAGTTCAATCACGACTTGCATGGATGTCCGACTACGGTCGTGTTCTTATGCTTGAAAACAGGCTCTTATTGTTTCTCTGATTCAAACAACAGGAAAAAAAGGTAACTATTCACACTTTGTAGTGTATTCAACGTGAATCTGAGCTGATTTTCTATTAGCTATTTGGAAGGCCACTCAGCATTAACTAAACCTGTGATGATGCACAAAAGTCGAGATTTAACTACTTATTCCATATTTCCTCATTAGTTTCACACTGAGTAAGACTCTGCCAAAACGTTTTTGATTTTATGTTGAACAAAGTATAATGTACAGGAAAATAAAGTAAAATAGGAATACTCTCAGTGTTCAGCAACCTTTTTTTGAAAAGTTATGACTGTTTTAAACATGTGCTTAACAGGTTTCAAAACCGTAAGTTTTTAATTGCGTTAAGTTTTTCTTCTTTCTAGTATGTTTAAATTTGTTCTTCTACATAGTTTGAGAGACATAATGAAACACCTCCAAAAATTTTCCAATAGCTTTTACAAAGAAAGAGACATAGCCGCAAATGTTATCAAAATTGTGATCTATTCAATACCACCTGAAATACTTAAAACACTGATGGTTGCAATTACAATACATTAAAACCTCTCGAAAACTTCATCCGAACGGGTCACTCCATCACAGATGCCGGGGATCTTGCGGTAGGTTTTTTTCGTTTTTCTTTCAAGTTGCATAAGCTTTTACCATTTTTTTTATATATGAAAAAAAAGTTGCCGCTCTGAAATATCATTCCATGTATCTGTGATAAAGCTGTGAGTCCGATCCGATGAAAGTTCTGGATAAAAATAAAAGATTTTCTTTTTGAATGTTCTATCTGTGGTAAAAGCTTGGGCTTACTTGCACCTCTAGACGCTGGAAAAGAGACGGGACACCGTTAACAACTAACCTTGATAGAAATAATGTTTATTGTGTTGCACGTGTATTGCCGATGGTTCAGACCCCTGATCCATATCTAAACAAGAAAAAATTAGAAACTTTTTTTAGTCTTCAAGAAATTACAGAAAAATATACTCACGATATTGATTGTCTTTTTCGATTGAACATTCACTAATTTTTCTACTGTTTGACGAATCCTCCTCGTTTGATAAATTATCTAACAACGTTTCTTCATTAACATCTTCTTCGTTTAAAGGCAAAACAACATTATCAAATGCATTTTCATAAACTACTGACGGCTAAAATATAAAAGAGTAAACAATTTTTAATCTTTGCACTATTATTAACCATCAAAATATGAAATATCAATATTAAATAATTTTAGTAATTTTTTACTACTTGTTTGGTTTTCAAACATCGTTAAAATGAAGTATCAAATAAATCTTCAACGTCATATCGAAAAGATCAATGCTGAAAAACTTAGTTTTTCTTGCTTTTAAAGATACTTAATTGTATAATTTGTAACCTTATCATTGAATAAAATCATGTACCTACCTTTATGTTCACTGTTTTATTATCTTGTGTTGAGCTAAGTTTATGTTTAGTAGATAACTCCTGATTAGTTGTTTCATCAGACGATTTCTGCTGTAGTTGTTGGTCGTGTTTTGGTAGTGTTGTATTCAATCTTTCACGAATAATCTTTTCTCGTTCCTGAAAATAGGATGAAGAGCATCTGTTTATTACCACATCATCTAAGAATCATTCTCTTTATCATAAAACATTGACAGTTGACTCTATTAACCATCCTCATGAAAAACCTGTATACATGATATAAACTTACTTCAACTTCTTCTAATGCTTGTTTAATAAAAATCGTTTCTGGTTGGTCTCCTTCGTCTTGTAATTGTTTCAATAGTTCGTATTTTTCTTTTTCAATTATTTCCATTAAAATCGTTTCATCATCAGCCAATAATAGATTCGAATGATTATAACTAATTGTATAATTATTTGAGACGAGTAAACGTTTAACCTGAGGTTCTGTAATCGATGGTTCAATATGTTTTGGATAGAATAGTGATGAACCACGTTCACGATGCATTAAACGAAATGTTATTAGATCACCATTCTTAAATACACGGCCTATCAGTCCGCGGACACTAAAAGTAACGAAACAGTTTCATATTAGATAATATAATGGTAACAATAATGTATGTACCTTTTCAAATCTTGTTTATAGATTGGTTCATAACAGATTGGACATTTTCTCCATTGTTTATCACTTAATGCCAAGTAATGAAATACACACGGCCAACAATAGACATGTCCACAACGAGTAATTTTACCTGAAAGTATAACGGAGAGGGCATGAAATGCATATCTTCTGCTATTTACATTTGAACTTACCAGCCACGGGTTGGCACAAACATATTGGACACTTTAACTGTTCATTTGAACATAATCGAACTTGCTCAACTTTAGTCCAATCAATGGGCAAGTCGGGATCAGCAAAATGCAAACTATAATCTCCATCGACTTTAACTACAAATTGACAACTAAAACAAAACATAGAAGAAGAGTGTATGTATAGCTGATTAAGAGAACGTTATTTAGACTATCTATGTGGAAATGTTGTCAAAGTTTCACGACGTTGGGATCGTGCAGTTGCACCATCGAATGTGTGAGCACGTATGACCTTTCTATAATTTCACACGCGTTCCCAAGTGCAAATTTGTTTTCACGTGTGCCCACACAGCGTTGTACGACCTTCATTAGTGACCACATGCGAAAAATATGACGCAAAACGTTTCTGTGAGTAGTTCACGCGTTGTCACAAGTGGAATATATTTTTTACGCGTGTCCACACACCATTTGCGATGTTCACGTACGACCACAGTCGATATTCACGGGTATACACGCCGTTTTATATACTAAAATCTCCCCATGGGCCAGGGATGCAAATTAAAGAAAAAGTAAAGGACTGTTTTTTCTACAAAGTGGAACAACACAAAACACATTATTTGTCATACGATGTCATTGAGAAAATTAAAGTACGTGAGTTTTAGTCTGTTTTTTTTTGATAGATCTTACTATGTCAAAACATAAAATTTAATGCAACTATCTTTTGTCATACAAAAAGCACTAAATGGTCACTTCAGACGTTATTTTTTACTAATGTGTTCATATTTTCATTCCACGAATGCTCTTACTAGGGACATCTTTGTTATTCAAAATCATAGATTCTAATCATGAAAATTATTGGACGTTAAATTTGTATTCATTCTAATTTTCGTGATTAATGCTCGTATTGTTTACAAAGTTAATGATTTAGTTGAAAGGTTTGTTGAATTTTTTTCTCTTCGTATTTATTTATCGAAACGTTTAGTTAATATACATTCATTAATAAATACGAAAGGAAAACGTTCAGAGACCCTTCAACTAAATTTTAATTTTCAGTTCTGCGTTTAGTGCTTTTTCTTATATGAAATCTCATATAAGAAAAATTACTAAACACTAAAGATCTGTTATACTGAAAGCGTAATACAAAAGTGAAAAGTCCATCGAAGACGGTCAAAAAGAAAATATTCTTGAAAAAAGGGACATCCTGAGGGACAGATTTTCGCGGCGGACAAATCTTTAAATGTGGAATTGTCCCCCTTATGGGGAGACATCTGGCAAGCCTGCCATGGGCATACATTCAATCGCAAAATTTTATTCAATCAATGTATAGTTTCTGATCTGGTTAGAATAAAGAATGGAAAAAGTTCGTTTTCACCGCACAACCCGTCGAAAAGGATCCTAACTATGTAATATAAAACTAAATTGAATACAAATGTCGTAGAAGACAATACTAATAGCAGTTATTCATCTAATAACTAGCGACAGATGCATCCATTATTTCTACTACTAATGTACGAAAGAAGCATTTCAATTTTTACTTAAAAGTAACTGTCTAGATTCAAAATGTCTCCTGCGATTACTACAATTGAAAATTTATTTTTTGCTCAGATTATTGTCTTACTTTGCTTGTAAAAACTGTTCTTTTGAAAAATGTTTTGTTTGAAAATATTTTCCATTGCCATAAGCTCGTCTTCCATACGACGACATTGATCGTTGTTTTTCAAAAAAATGAAAATTTAATAAATGATTAACGTTTATCTTTTTTCCACAACGTTTTTCTAGTGTTTCATCTAAATCAAAGTCAGTGTGATCATCATTAAATATATCGACATAACCAGCATCTAAATCCTAAATGACAGAGAAAAAAAACAATTTAACACAAAAATTATAAAATAACCTCGTTCATTAGAATTAAAGTTATGAAACTTCTGTTGAATGTTCTTAAACGTTGTAAAACCATTCGTTGCAGCATCTTTAACGAGATCTAGGAATGCCCAAAAGAGACGAAACGCGGAACACAAGTAGCCGAGGCGGGATGCTACTTATAGTAGACTGGCTTCGTAACGTTCCTTTCAGAAAAAAAGAGGAGGCATTTTTTGGCCAAAAACTGGTACTGACACTATTGTGTACACGTTAAAGTGGCTTAAGGCTCTGAAAGAAAAGATTTCATCCTACTTAAAGTATTTTTTCCGTGTTTCACAAGTAAAAAATTAAGAAAAACACAACAAAAAGGAGTTATTCTAGTTTAACACAGAAACATATCTAACTGTTCAAATAGTATCGCTAACTGTCAAACTAATCTAAAATCAAATTCTCTTTACTGAACATTCTTCTTATTTATTTTTTTGATTGTTCTTGAGAGAATTTCTGTTTTTTGTTTGACTATTCAGCTTCGTGATAAAGTTGTGACTATATGAGACAAAGATGTTGGAGAAACGAATGTGATATTTTCTTTCAACTCTCTGATTTTTTCACGGTGTTTATCTTTCTTCATATGCTGTACTATCGATTTCATCTAATGTTTCCTGTAATCACGAGTGATTGAATTTTGTTTCATATGACGGGACTGATAAAAAAATATATCTGAAACTACTTTCCGATCTAAAAATTGCGTGAATTCGGGTATTTTTGCTAAAAAAATTCTAGAAAAAGAGGAGAAAGAATGAGTCTGTCAGCTTATACCTTATTTATTGAACAAGTTATAGCAAATATCCTCTGAGACTTGTGTTTAGAAATGGACAGTTGTGTTACATGGAAAGTCATACAACAACTGTATGATTTGATAAAAGATATCATATGACACCTGTAACAAATATCAGAAATAGGTAGCCCACCATCTACTACAAAAAGTCTTTGTTTCGATTTTGAACATTCCTTGCTCCGAAAATAAGTTACATTGGTATGGAAACTTTTGCGGTGTTTCGCTACCATGTACATAAAAGCTTTAAATAAAAAGTGCATCTATTCAAACTTTTGGAGATATCTTCTTTCGAATATTGCTGCTGAACACCATACATACATATCACACTCAAAAATTCGTACGTTGATTGAGTAGATTTTAGTAGCTTCTAGTTGCATAAAATAATAATACATAGATTCAGTATCCAGGGAATTTACTAGATAATGAAAAATAAAATAACAATAAAAGATGAGGGTCTGTTCTTTTCCGACGTGCTCTCAGACAAAAATTGTTGAAGTTTTGTATGAGCACAAGAAAACTGAAGTTCCTTGCGCTTCTGATATTCAGCAAGTATATTCGATTTCAGATAAATGCATTGTATGGAATGGAATATCCCAAAGAAAGCTGTAATCTGGCTTCGTAATGATCCTTTTGGAAAAAAGAGGAAAAAAAGAGAAACGTTAAAAATTTTTTAAGAGGAGCGTTGAGTAGAAAGAGGAAAATGGGAGGCAGTTTTGGGGCCAGAAAACGGTGTTGACAATGTTTTGTAAACGTCAGAGTGGCTTAAGACTCTCAAAGAAAAGATTTCATCCTACTTAAAGTATTTTTTTCCATGTTTCGCGAGTAAAAAACTAAGAAAAACACAGCATAAGGG